GAGTAAAGCGCTCCTCGGATACGCGGGGTCTGCGTGAACCACCCACCGCCGACACCGTGGAGTACAGTGCTCCTCGGACATGCGGGATCCACGTGAACCACCCACCGCCAACACCGTGGAGTACACTGCTCCTCGGACACGCGGGGTCTGCGCGAACCAGCCACCACCGACACCGTGCAGCACGGCGCTCCTCAGACACACAGCTCTGCGTGATCCGAAGCTGACCTGATGGCAGCTGATGGGCGGCAGTGACCCGTTATGGATCCTTGACGTCTACGACAGGCCTTTACCAGGAACGGTGGCAGTAGATTTGTGTTACTGGATACGTTATCCACCTAGTTACACTAAAAATCAGCCAGCTCGTGCAGGTAACTTCCCCAAAAATACTGACGTGTCCCCGTCATCAGGAAACACCAATCGCCAGAGAAGAACATCCTGGTCAGTAACGCAGAGGGTCAGCGCAGACGAGAGCAACCACCTGAGACGGACAGACAGGGAGGACGGACAGGGAGGCCAGGACGACGGCTGAGAGGAACCCGCCCAAGACGGACGGACATGGGGGCCGAAAGGAACCCGCCTGACACGGCAGCCTGGACCACGGCCAAGAGGACCTCAGGCATGGTGCCGGACCGGTCAACGTCCCTGTCCTGCATACGCTTGTCATGAGTCGGAGCAAACATGCCGACAACCAACAACAAACTGAGTGTACCAGAGGTGCCAGAAGAACCCGCAAGTCTGTCCTGGAAGGAGTCCAGCCAGAGTGCCCCTGGGAAGCGAGGGTGGCCAGAGCTCGTCTCCTGCACTTTGAACACGTTACCAGGAGCACCAGTCCCTGCAGAAGGTCATCATATCTGCTGAAGCAGAGGGTCAGCAAAGGAAGAGAAGGAGCCTCAACAAGACGGGCCAGCAGCGGCCGCCACGACGACGGGCCGGGCCGACGGCGGCCGCCACGACGGGTTCAGACACGGCAACGGTCGTGAGGAGGGTGTGGGAGCGGCGGGATTTCGTCCTGTTGTATGTCAGGTCAGAATCGAGCTCTAACAATGTGGTGGCAGGTGGCAGGGCACCCGACAATGACAAATGCCATCAATTCCTTCTTAGAGGAGGCAGTGGAGGGGGCAGGGGTATGTGAGAGAAGCCAACATTGCAGAGGGAGGCAGGCCGGCTGGACGGGGCAGCAGTGCGCGGCCACCACCCTCGGGGAAGCAGGAATGAGGTGGGTGCAGGAGGGGACCCAGGGAAGGGAAGAGTGTGCGGAGAGGCTGCCACTCCTTCCAGAAGGTTCCTGGGAAGCAGAGGGGTGGTTGCATGCCGGGGAGGCACGGGGTCCTGGGCTCCTGCCTGTTTCCTGAGGCCCTGCAACCAGCCCCCCGCTCCCAGTACCTGGGCCGCGCTGCCCGGAGCCAGGCCGCCCCCCGCTCCCAGTACCTGGGCCACGCTGGCCAGAGCCAGGCCGCCCCCCGCTCCCAGTACCTGGGCCGCGCTGCCCGGAGCCAGGCCGCCCCCCGCTCCCAGTACCTGGGCCGCGCTGCCCGGAGCC